GCGATGGCCTCCAACCTAATAGCGATGGCCTCCAACCTAATAGCCGCGATGGCCTCCAACCTAATAGCGATGGCCTCCAACCTACTAATAGCGATGGCCTCCAAAACCCACCTACGAACACAATTGGCCTGCCTTGTACGTCGTTAGTACTTGCAAAGCAGGTACAGAGTACTTGCTTTGGGGTTTGGGCCTGGGCAGGAGTTTGTCGAATTGGCCCTGGAGTTGGGCATTGCTCCTTTGGAGGACGAATACTTTTGAGGGTGGAAGGAATTTGGTGCCATGACCCCGTGAAAAGCAACACTTCACGCGGAGGATGATGCGATTCAAGCAGAGATGGAGCAAGCTGAGCACAAGGTAGGAGTGTAGACACAAGCTGATGCTTGCTGCTTGCTGAACTTCTCCTTACCAGTAGTATCTAGTATTATATAATTAGATGAAGCAAGGCCAAGTCTGTAATCTTTACTAGTAGCGATGCCCTTCCTAGTGCAGGAGCGCCCCTAGTAGCGTCCTTCCTCCTAGTAGCGATGCCCTTGGCTCCTAGTAGCATCCTTGTTCCTGGGCTGAGAAGCGTCACTTGAAGTCTGAGAAGCGTCACAAGTTTGAACTGGCTGGTGGAGCCCAGGCAGATCTAGAAGCGGCTCGTGGACGAGTCCGTGCCACAGCCGAATTTGTGGACATGTCTTGTGGCGCGCGACAGCCGATGCGGAAGCCACCCGATATGGCAGGCCGCTGGGCCTCCATTGAAGAACCAAAACTCATTTGAGCGACAAAGGTGCCCGGCGACGAATCACTGAAGACATAGAGTCAAAGCGACGCTCAGTATATAATTAATGCATTTATTGTTTATTGTATTGCATGTGTTTTTCCGTCTGCTATCCTTAGAGTTTATTACCAGTAGCGATGCCCGTTGCTGTTTTTTGAGAATGCTTCTTGTTTAGACCTGTCTTTCTTTTCATTCCTGTTTTGTTTGCTTGGCATGGCGCGGCATGTCTCCCAAGCGCCAAGTCGTTCCCGTCGACAGGACTTCGGATCCTTTTGCTGCAGACGCTCAAGGGCTGCTCCTTGGGCAGACCCTTCTGGGCTCAAGCGTTGGGCTCAAGCATGTTGAAATGTGTTCACGAAAAGGGGACTCAAAGAGGTGAAACACATTTCAACATCAGATTCGTTGGAACGCAGATGACTGCAGGCCACGGCAGGTGCATGCTGTGCCACCGCGGTCCAGCCAGGACCTCGGGATGTCGACATTTGCTCATTGTGCCTTCAAGTGTTTCTTACTGTTATTGTCTCACCAAGCCACGCTCAGTCTTGTCAACAGGACAATCATGGGACACCACCCTAGTCATGAGTGAAGCGACACCCTCGCCTTAGAGCACTCCAGCTGTGCTGAAGTGTTTTTGCACACAAGTGTTGTGTTTCATGGCTGTGTCGGTGGACATGTTAGACATGTGAAGCCTAGCTGTACATAGCTTTTCCGGGTCTGGAGGACCCTTATGTTTAACAGTGAGCTTAGCAATGGCCGGCATTGGCGGAAGTCCTTCAGGCCGTTTGCCAGACCATCTCACTTTCCTGAATTGCTAACGCAGATGCCGGCGCAAGGGCACCTTTGCCTTAGACTTTGACTCATCCATATCCACAAACGCGGGCCTTTCACACATCTAAGATTACATGTTTGATCAACAAGGCAATTTGAACGCATGTTTTGTAACATTGAGTGAGCGCTTCTTTTTTGGGCCCGCTTTCAGGCCATGAAGAAGCCTCAAACCTGGAATATAGTTCTCAGTATTTTGATGACATGATGACATTCTCCAGAGTCCAATGAACTCCGTTTCAGGTGGGCGTACCGAAAGCTAGCTATCGTAGCAATTACGTTGTTTCTTCGATATCGTAGCAATAAGCTGTGCTTTGTTGCGTTTATCTTTGTAGAGATTATCTCCATGGCATGGGCTCTGGCGGACGCCATCGCAGCAACCGCACAGCAAGTTAAGAGCTGAGAGGCTACACGGTTGCGGACGTTTTGGGATTTTTGCTTTGCTCTCTGCCTCTGTCGGCACAATGCAAAGGCCGAAAGAGGAAGAAGCACCGTGCAACCAGCCGCATGCCTGAGCGTTGCAAAACCCCAGAGGTCTTTGTTACTGTATAGTAGCGTCCTTGTTCCTAGTAGTAAGGCCAGGAGCCCCAAGTAGCGTCCTTGCTCCTAGTAGCGATGCCCTTGGCTCCTGGTAGCTTCTTGTCTTTGTTAGCACTGATGAGGTGGGAAAGGCTCAAGAGCTCGGAAAGATCGCAAGAGGCAGGATTAGGATGCAAACCCGTGTCGTGTCGAATTTGCTGTCGTGACTTTTTCCAGTGCAGGCGTCGCTTAGCGCAAACTTCAGAAAGTGCAACGCTGAGTTGAAGAATCACAGCAGGAAACCACCTTCACCTTCACGACTTCTGTTACAACCGACGGTCGGCACTTCATTTTCTTCCTCTCAAATTAGCATGGGCGATGCTGAGACCTGGTTTTGTACCAAATATTCCGACTTTCATTATATCCTGTTGTTCCGTCACACATCTCAAAACACGGCAATATGTGGTGTTTGGAAAGCAAGTAGTAACAAGTGCATCGCTACTAGGAACAAGTGCATCGCTACTAGTAACAAGTGCCTTACTAGTAGTAACAAGAAGTTTCTATTTTTAAAAGGGGTCGTTCAGTCCAACCATCGGCACGGAGAAGCATTCTTGCTTTCTGCACATGACATGAGATGGTTCCTTGGTGGTCTCCCATGGGTTTGGCTGACTTCGGCTACAGCTCGCTGGAGTGCTGAGCATGCGCGGGCATGGGCGCCTGAGTGGCGCTTGGGCGAGCCATGGCATCCAACCAGCACCAAAAGAAACAGACTTTGAACCGCACACGGGCTCATCCAACCTACAATGGCCTCCAACCTAGTGAGAAGTTCCCCTTGAGAAGCAGTTGAGAAACATGACATGTAGCCAGAGCTTGGATGAGAAACTATACATTAGACACCCAAACCCCTGTGGACATGGAATGCAGATCCTTCGAAAACAATGCCCTTTCCACGGGTGTGGTTTCTTTCCGTGTCCATTGCATGTTACTTGGTCTTTCAAAATCATAGAGTAGTGGACAAGGCTTTGATGAATTGCGCACACTGAACGTTTTGTGCAAAGCCCGAGGCGAACTATTTGCCTTCGAATTGTGGAAATGTTTTGGAGCTCTTTGCGGCAGAGAGTGTTGACCGGTCACTGTTGACTGCAGAACGTGAGCTTCGAGTAGCCCGAGACTTGCAAAAATGCACTAATTACTCGCCGTAGTCCCTAGTCACTAGTCTAATAGTGAAGGGTGTGATGCCAGAGGCTCGCTTCAATGTAGTGGATGTGCATGGATTTGCTTGGACAAATGTGCAGCATTGAAGCTGACTCAGGAGCCGCAGGTTTCTCTTCTCTCCGTGTTTTTCTGCACGAGGAGCTCTTTTACCAGGATGGCACTGCTTTTTTGGGGAGGATCAGCCGATTTCTTGCATTATTCCAACGTCACGGCATGTCTGCAATGCTGGTGCTGTTCGATGCCTGCTGGAGGCCAGACATGCCTGATGCTGGAGAACACCTGCCAGGTGTGCACAACAGTGCCTGGGTTCAATGTCCAACCCACGACGTGCTGCGGGCCTTTGCTGAGAGTCAAGACTGGGCGCATGAGCGTTTACAGCGTTATGTCACTGAAGTAGTGCGCTTTTTTGCCGACGATCCACGAGTTGTGGTGTGGGACATATACAACGAACCCACACAGCGACAGAGTGAGCACCTCATTCTTCCTCGATTGTCTGCTCTCAAAAGCTGGCCAGCCGATCAATACCCGGAGCATTGGATGTTGGACGGGCCGAAGCTGCAAGCCATAATGCTTCTACTAGAGAAGGTGCCACCTCGAACCACTAAATGCTTGAGGTCTTGGCGGCCTTGACTGTGACACCATTCTTTTGTGTTTGATGGGTTTGGGAATCAGGTAATTCTTGGTTATATATCGGTGTTATTGCATGCCACTGTTTCCTATCAATGTGTTTCGGTCCAGCTCGTTCCTAGACTGTGAAAGCCTAGGGAAACGCGAGTATTGAATCCAGGGCAAGCTTTGGTCAGGCCTTCACATGGGCACGAGCGGCAAAGCCAACACAGCCACTCACGACTGCCATTTGGGAGTTTCCCAGCCCAGCGGATAGCGAGGATGTCAAGCAGTTCAAGGACTTGACGTAGCGTCCTTGCTCCTAGTAGCGATGCCAGGAGCCCCTAGTAGCATCCTTGCTCCTGGTAGCGATGCCACAAGCCCCTAGTAGCATCCTTGCTCCTAGTAGCGATTCCAGGAGCCCCTAGTAGCTTCCTTGCTCCTAGCAGCGTACCAGGAGCCCCGAGTAGCATCCATGCTCCTAGTAGCGATGCCCTTTGCTCCTAGTAGCAAAGGAACCTACCAGCGATGTGCTCCAGGGCGTTCCCAGTGGTGTTCCCCTGGCCCTAGTTGCAGTAGAGTGATGAAGCTGCCATGAGAGGAGCAGCTGAATCAGAAGCTGATCGATCTCAGTGATGTGCCGTCATTGCATTGTGCCCTGGCACCTTCACATGGCAGTCGCAAGGTGTCACCAAGAAGATTCAGACCTTGCACTTGCATTCACATAATATTCCAGAACATATCAATCCAAGGATATTGCGCTTCCCTTCGCTGGGGGAATGCATTCCCTCATTAATAAACGCTGTGTCCCGTCACGTGGTTGTGAGGCTACTGCCCCCCAAGCGAGCTGGACGCACGACTGGTGGAATTGGAAGCACTCGATCGAGGGCCAGCCTTGGTCACAGCACGCTTGGTTGCAAAATCAGCCCTTTTCATTACAATCTCAAGACCCTGGTGTTTTTGCTACTAGGAACATGTGCATCGCTTCTAGTAACAAGTGCCTTACTAGTAGCAACACGAAGCTACTAGGAACAATGTTTGCCTCAATCTCAAGACCCTGGTGTTTTTGCAGTTTTGCCCGAGTTTTTGACCCCATTGTTGTTCCCAATTGCACAGCTTTAGGCTAGGCGAAAGTTTCTCAGGCGAACGAAATGAGATGCAGAGCAGGAAATGTAACTTTTCCCTCAATTGGTGGGGGAGAGTGTCGGAAGCTTGTGCTTCCTGGTGCAGAACTACCGTAAACGATGCAGGTGAGTTAATACAGATTTATAGACTAGATGCAGGTGTACATGTAGGTGTATAGACACAAGTGCAACCTGACAGATGTAAAGAGCTTCTACAAAGCTAAACATAATATATAATTACAACTTCGATATTCTTTGGTAGTTCCCTTCCGGCAGCACACTAGCCCGGCAAGTCGACCGCCTTGGGGAATGGAAAATATGCATGTGTAACCTGTGTGCGAACACGGCGTCGCTAATTCATCTAAAACATGTTCAGAACATTCCCGTCACCATCCTCATCATCATCCTATTTCAGAACGTGCACATCATCATCATCATCATCATCATCATCATCATCATCATCATAATCATCATCATCATCTTCATCTTCATCTTCATCTGTCTTTCTTTCATACGCTCATCAGTCGATGATTGCGTGGACCCGTTTGGTCCCACCTGGCGCCCCGAAGGGCCTATGGCCTCTACAGATGATAGTGCGGTCACAGGGCGAGCAGGGTGAAAGCCCTTCCACCTGTAGTGTCCGCAACACCAAATGCATTAAAGAAAGGCAAACCAGTCTCTAGCACGATCAGCATTGACCTCAAGGAATCAAGTGCTGAAAAGCAGCCGGCAGGCAAGCAGCCGGCAGGCACACCACCAAGGGGGTGTGCTCAGAAATGAAGCTCACTGCCAATGTTCCGCCAAGGGGCTAGCTTCGTCCCACGATGAAGAATGCCACCGGAGGTGAAAACAAAAACCAGCCCACTGCCATCCTTGAGCAAATCTTCACCAGCCTAGCTCAAACCAGCAGGCTGTCGTTCCCAGGAACCACCAGAGGCAGTGCCAAAAACTTGACCCTCCCAAAGTCGCCGACATAGGCCCACCAGGTGCCACCTGCCCGTCTCCGGTAGAGTTGGAGTGGAGCTCAAAGCACCCTGCTCCGCCAAGAGTCCGGCATTTACCAAACCATTCAGTGAGGCTTCCATAACCATCTGCCGCGCATGATGAGAAGCCCACCAGCCTGAAACACAAGGTGAAGGTGTCCACCAGGAGGTTGGTGACAGGAGGATCCACCCCAGGCAACCAATGCCAGTCCAGGCCCGGCCTCCTCAAGTGCAATCCATGGCAGGAATGTGCCTTCCTCGGTGTCCAGGCCGTCTTCCAAGACCCGCCAGGTGTCTCCGTCTTGGATGGCGGTGCAGTAGTGTCCACTGACAGCACCAGTGCCCCGGTGGTAGGAGATGCCATGGTCCTCATGGAGCCGAGCAGTCATGGTGTCCCGCTGAGCTTGGTGGGCCTCCAGTGAAGCAGCCATGTAAACAGGCGTTTCATGTTTGTGGATGGCGGCTGAGATAGGTTGGCTCTGGCCCCAGCATGATCCATGGATTTTTGCTCAATGTTGTGCTCGTAAAGAGAATGTATTCTGAAAATGAGGCTGTGTCCCGTCTGTATTGATTGAGGTCGTGGGCCACTCGGCTTCGCCTTGAAAAGGGCGGGAAGAGCCTGTAGAATGCCGGCTCCACTGCGTCTCGTGGCAGACCCAGAACCCTCGAGCCACCAGGGTGGAGCCAGATGTGTAGTAGGCCATGAAGAGTCCTGCAACACAGAACAAAGAGGCCTCTTCCAACCCTGGCCGGGGACTTGGGACCCCGGTGAGCGTGCTTGAAGGCTGCCACGTGTGTCCGCGAGCTCAATGAGCTTGATCGTTGCCAGGTGCTTGAGGAGCTGTCCGTGTAGTGGTGGTTCTTCCGGTGGAGCCTGTAGAGAATGCCAGCCACAATCACGAAGAACAGGAGGTAGAACCTGAAGAGGTAGTCATTGAGCTCCTTGGGGGTAGAGAGCTGGATCTCGGGGTCCTGGTTGATGGTGAGCAAAGGACCTGTAATCGAGACCATCGATCAGCACCGCGGTCATCTTCGGGTTGCCCATGGGCAGGAGGGTCATTTCCGCACTTCCCCCGTGGCAACGTGGGCGATGGGGGTTGAGCCGCTCATGGCCCTTATCATCATCATCATCATCATCAGCATCAGCATCAGCATCATCATAGAACCTCAGCATTCTCCAGATGCATGCGCATCGCCGGTTTGAACAAAGCTATGTTACAGGTTACAGGTTATAGCTTTGTTTGATTATATTTAATTATCAGTTACGTACATGCGACGATATACCGGTGTAGATGCAGGTGTGCAGATACCCGTACGGATGTACAGAGACAGGTGTATAGGAAAAGGTTGCACAGGTGCAAAGATACAGGTGTTTTGCAAAGAAGGCATAGACATAAGTCGAGAAATGCAGGAGTCAAGAAATGATAGAGGCAACGAACTTCTACAGAACACCAACCTAATTAGACATTCTTCAGTAATTCTCTCAGACTGAGTGGTAGCCCGGAACCATTTGAAACAACCTTGCAGAGATTTTGCGTGTCGGAAGTGCGAAAGAAGCTACTAGTAACAAGGGCATCGCTACTAGCAGTTTCTTGCTTCTAGCTTGCTAAATGCACTTGTTACACATTTCGCAAACGTGCTGCGATCTCAGGGTTGTGCGTGATGCGTAAAACATGGGACTCTCGTCGCACACTGGCTGAGGATGCAAAAGTTGATGTTGGCGATGCCGAGGTGTGAAACTTCTGTCGAACACGGACGACAGCGATGTCAAAATGAAACAGTCGTCCACAAATTAATAAACGACGTTGAAATGTCAAACATTGAAACTATCATCGGAAGTGGGTGCATGTGATGCCAAAATGTGAACCGTTCGGACACTGTCGTTGAAGCTTGTAGTACAAATGTAGAAATGGAGTGACTTCTGGCTGCTCCGAGAACTGGCGGTTCTGCAACGCAAATGTAGTATGTGAAGTGGCTTCTACCAGGTCAGAGCTGGCGGTTTCGTAGTTGATTCATTCTGGGTGCATTGGGGTTGAGTGATGCTGCTGGTAATGCACGGCAGGCATGGTGCATATCTAGCATCATTATCGCGCCATTTCCAGCTTGATAATGTGTGTCAATTGCAAAAGGATGTTGCCATCAGCCATCAGCAAAATGAACCCAACATGTTTATATTTTCTGTGTGCGTTGCGCTATTTGATTTATTTTTGACTTACTCTCTTGGCAGGAAGTGTGTCAGACGTTTTCACGTCCTGAGTCCTGAGTCCTCACTCTTTGCAAAGAAAAGTGACGTGTCCGTTTTGGAGCCTTTCCTTTGTGCGCCAAGCGTGCCGGTTTGGGAGCCTCATATAGCACGAAAAGATGGAACGCACGCTAAGATGGAATGGTGTGCCCATTTTGGGGCCAATGTTTTGTCCGCCACCCGTGCCTCATAAAACACGAAGGGATGGAACGTATGTTATCAAGGCAAGGAGCCCCTAGTAGCTTCTTGCTCCCAGTAGTAAGGCCAGGAGCCCCTAGTAGCGTCGTTGCTCCTGCAAATAAAGCACTCCATTTGGATCCTCGTTAACATGTCCTCTAATTATGTGGTGTCACGACCCCGCTATGAGATGTTGGCTTGTATGCAGTACATGCTTTACAGGCATTTTTTTTGCGGGGTTTTGTCTTGGCTTGCTAGTGAGGTAGCAAAATTAAAATTGATTTTGCTGAGAACCGTGTCTACTCTGTACTTTAAAATTTAAGATTCCTTTCCCGTCCATTTTGCAGAGCCTTTTTTTGCTTGACCTCCTCCCTTTCTATAGATTCAAAACCCATGCCAATGGTTTAGTGTTTTTCGCATGGAGACACCACTGTTGGCGTTTAGTTTGTTATTCATCAATTTCTTCCTCATCATGGAATCTTCATGGGCAGCATCATCGGGCACAAAGAAATACCTTTGTCCCCACAGACCATGTGCAATTCCTGTACTGTGCTCCAGCCTTCTTGCTTCAAGGCTACAAATTTCGCAAGATGAACTAAGTTGAACCAAGGAATTCATGGCACGCCCACTGGACTCGACGCTTACAAACAGTTTGCCTGTGCTGAAACGACGCGGCGCTCCTGGCTACACCTGGGGCCTTTTTTCGAGGCAAGTCCAACACCCATGTGGCTTGGAATACTTGGCTCAGCAGTGACACTTAGCGAACTTATCCGGAACTTGCCAGGGTTCTAGATTCGAGACAGCGGGCTCTTGTGGATTCAGCAAGGGGTTTGCCCAGGATTCGCTTGATGACCCATGGTTTCACGACGTTTTTTACGAGAATGGCACGGCATATGATGAAGATGAGTTGAAGAGCATTTGGTGGCATACCATTGGCAGTGCTTTGCACAGTTAACTCAGTTGACTGGAAAAAGGATGCTGGCCGAAGGGCTTTTATCAGATTTCGACATCCAATGCCCCGCTTGCTTGAGGTGATGCCCACCGTCTCTCCAGTGCAGAACCAAAGCCCGAATCCTGTTGTCCGATTGCAGGAAGAATGCTCCTAGTAGCGATGCCAGGAGCCCCTAGTAGCGTCCTTGCTCCTAGTAGTAAGGCCTGGAGCCCCTAGTCCAATGACAGAAGTCAATTTGGGATACTTTTGGACTCCGGTTCTCACACTTGCCAAGGTCACCAGAAAGCAAGGGCTCATCGCTGTGCAAGGTGCCGGAAGTAGTGTGTTCCTATGTACCTATGTATGCGCATATGCAAACATTTTTTGATCACATAGCACGTATACCGTGTACTATCGTATACTTGTATAGTTGCTGATTTAGGAAAGAAGCCCTGAAGTTCGAATTGCTGAGACGCACTGTTTTTCACATCGCGCAGGCGAGTGTGGCCTCTTTGTCGGCATCGTTTGGGTCTGAGATGAGATTGGATCCTGCCCACCTAGCGCAACAATCCTCAGGAGACTTTCGCAAAAGCCGGAGCGAGTCAGTTATTCAAAGTCTGTGGTCTGATGCAGCCCGCAGTGTGCACAAGTTTCATGTTTGAGGCCTTGTTCACTGGCAAGCCACCGCTCTCCTGCATCTTTCTCACCAGGCTTTTGTCGTTGGATTTGAAGCAGGTTGAATGTGCGATGGTCTTGCTCAAGGTATAACATTTCTCGGATTGTTCTTCCTCGTTACCTCGTTTCGTCAAGGCCTGCCAGAAGAGCCTGAGGCCCTTGAGATTTGTGAGGACTGCAGACTCCATTCCCCAAAAGCGCAGGGTGATCAAATGTCAAGGGGTGTGCAAATTAACGAAGTCATGCATTCTGGCTCAGGGCATGCCATTCTATTCTGGCAGGAGGATGATGTGCAGATTGTCCAAGCAAAGCCTACGTCGAACGCTTTGTGGGCAGTGTGGGCTTGGTTGACTTTAAAAAAAACGCTTCTAGTTACTTCATGTTACCTCTATGCTTGTGCCTTAGATCCGGTTTTCTATTCGATGATCGTCGGAACATGGGAGATTTTTTATACGATTCCGGCATGGTAGATTGAGAGGCTCAGCTGCCTTCGCGAACCGCTGCCGCCAAAGGCGGAGACGGCGCGGGGCTGCAAAAAGGCCAACGATTTAACAGACTCAAGCAGCAACCGATCAGTTTCGGGGGCTTCGCACGTTTAATTACAAGGACCTGAGAATACGGCACAGAACAAACGGCAATCTCCGGCGCGGTCATGGCACTTTGCAGCCGTGACTCTTTCCGCCAGTGAGGGAGATATGCCCACATCAAGGATCGGCTCACAAGTGATTTTTTTCGACACGCAGCTGAACCTAATGTACAAAATTTCAAAACATCAGAACACTTTCTCTTGCGACTGTCTTCACACTTGGAGGAGGAGCCCTGTGAAAGAGAGATCGTGGACTGCAGATGATGCCTTCACAGTGATGCTTGGCCGAAGCAAGTTCCAATGTGTGCCTTGTAGGCAAGGCCCAAACCTTTTCTCTCTCTCTCTCTCTCTCTTTGAGTCTTCGATTGTGTGCGTGCAGTAATTTGATCTCAGGGTGCTGCCAGAGCGAGATGGAGGCAGAAACGAATCGCAAAAAATACTATTGAGCGAATGAAAGGCAAAGATAATGTTAATGTTCTTCGTTTCTTTTGGTCGGATATCTCTAAGCTGTCTCTAAAGGAGCCTTACTAGTAGTAATAGCTTCTTGTTACTACTAGTAAGGCACCTGTTACTACTAGTAAGGCACTTGTTTCTAATAGCTTCTTGTTACAGTCAGAATGTCCAGGTCGATCCCCAAGGAGCTTGGCAAAGTCGCCCCTAGTCGCAAGGATTCAATCATCAGAGCCACCAACTCAGAGCTCCATCATGTCCGTGCAGATTTGTAAATCGGACAGGGGTAACATATTGCAGAAGACGAGAGAATTGCACAAGCAATCAAAGAGCCATCAAATCATCAAATCAAAGCTCTGGCCAAAAAGGATCTCCATGCCTGACCTAAGTAAGTTCTGAAAAGTGAGAGGCTTAGAGAAAGCTTATAGCTCCGAAAGCAAGGTCAAGAAAGCGATTAAATTCTGGATATTCCGGTGGAGCACCAACCTTCGGAATTAGATCTATGGCTCCAGTGGATTCGGACGCCACTTGATTTGCAATATTCAACGCCGGTTCGATGATTGTCTTTTCCAGTGTATCGAACCAGACGTGTTCCAATGTATATCAGGAAGCGATGCCTACGAGAGAACAGGTGGTGTCGCCTACGGCCAGGGTGCTATTGCCTCCTGCACCAGACGGGGCCCTGCCCAACATCCCAAATGACCTGCCAATCTTCTTTTCAGACGAAGCTCCCGCTGGTCAATCATCTGGTCCAGCTTCACCAAAGAGAGGGAGATGGGCAAAGTCCTCCGTGTCAAAGAAAATTGGAGCCTGGAAAGCATCTTTGAGGCCACTTTTTCCTTCCAAGCCACAGCCACAGCAGCCACAGCAGCCGCCCAAACCATCTGAAAAAGCGGAGGAATCGGAGTCTCGACGGGGGAAGCTCCACACTGGGGCTCCTCCAAGAACTCCCAGGATCGAAGAGAAGGATGGACGAGAGACACGAGAGACACGAGATACGCGGGACACGCAAATGCGTAGCCCTGCACCATCTTGGACTTCCTTCCCTTCTCCTGCGAGTTCCCTGAACTCACCCACAGCATTGGCATCAACTCCACGGAGCAAGGAAAAGAAGCCGACTACGCCCAGCAAAGGGAGCTTTGGCTTTGGTAGTGCCAAGGCTGGGCAACCTTGTCACTGGATTTTCTTAAGTCTTAAACTTTGCATGTTTGTCCCATTCAGACCGACTCGTCCATAGTGGCAGTCGTCTTAGGCTCCTGGTGGGGGTGGTATGCCTGCACGTTTTTTTTTTTTCACCTCAAGCGCTTTCAATGTTTTTCTTGAAGAACCTCAACGTCAGGTTTTAGTTTTACATGTTTTTGTGAAGGTATGCCAATGCTTCTCGCAAGCCAAGCATTGTTTTGACATGTTTAACCTGACACTGAAGCAAAAGCAGGAGGACTCGCCACAACATCGCCGTATTAGCTGCCTTTGTGTCCGCGGTCAAACCCAAGGGCAAGGAAAGAAGGAGATAAAAGACATGAGGGCGTCAGAGGTCGTTGGTTCAACTTATTGACTTATTCACACTTTTTCACTTCATTCGGCGGAGGACATATTCGATGCGAAAGAGGACATCGACCAAAATGAGCGTGGCAGCATAGTTGTTCAAGTCCTCCCTTTTTATCCATCCAGATCTTGAAGCCTTCTCCAGGACTTCGAGCCTCAGGAAAGGCTGGAGCACTTCCAAAATGAGCTGAAAACGGCCATGGATCTTCAAGCCAGGGGATATGCACTGGAATCTTGGCACCATTTTTGCGCAGAGAGTTTCAGACATGTCAGTGAACTCTTTGGTGTTGTCAAGGAGCTCAAGCCGATGTCTGCCTCCGAAGAGAGAGAAATGATGGAGTTGCAGGCGCAAGTTGAAGAGAACGGCTTAACTGGAAAGGCTCCTTGTTGCAAGTGGCGCTGCTGATTCGATTTTTTCCAGAAAGCCGGCAGGCTCCAGGGTGTCGTGTGAGTTGCTTGCAGCAATGGGTGCAGCTGAGGAAGCACTGGCCTTTGTCTTGTCAGCCAAATTGGGCTCATTGGAAGATGCTTTCCAATATATGGATACCGTGAGTAGTGGCAACTCCTTTGCCTTGGTTTCATGGCACACTGGCCTCTTGGTCTTGCGAATCGACACTTGGATCAGCCCAGCAATCATGTCTCACCACCTGTTTCATGTCTCTTAAGACCTGTAATTGATAATGCTTTAGAGGCGCTCACAGAAACTTTAAGGATCCGATGAAGGTCGCAGGCTGGGATGCATGCACTTCAATGTCGTCCTTCAGAACTCTTGCAATCTTCTCGACATGTTTTTGAGGCTACTAGTTAACAAGGACGCTATTAGGTGGAGGCCATCGCAAGTTGGTTGGAGACCATCGCTACTAGTAACAAGAAGCGACTCAAAATAAGTAATTTTTTTCTGTGTTTGAGGCATGACAGTGAAACAATCCTTCGCGACCATTGCTGCGGGTGGCTCGCAGATCACACGAGCTTCTCGGCGACAAAAAAACAAGAGCCATGTCAAACTTCAGGCGATGCCTTTTTCTCCAAAAAGTCACCAACGAACTAGTATGTTTTTGAAGCTTTCTAGTAACTAGAAGCTACTAATTAGGTGGAGGCCATTACTTCTAGTAGCAAGAAGCTACTAGTAGCTAGATTGGAACACTAAACATGTTTGAAGCCCTTGTTACCAGGCCGAGCGCTGAAGTTTTCTCCGAGGCTTCCTGGGACGACTATTTCGCAGGTATGGACGATGTCTTGGCACCAGGAAAGAGACGCCGGAGGTAAGACTCGGTAAGCCATGCCATGTCAATCTTGACTACTTGTTGAGTACACGGGTGCCTGATGCTCAGGCAGGCCCTCAAGCCCAAATTACCACAGGTTCGTGAGACTCGTCTGAATGGCGTTGCATCAGGACAAGCGATAGCTCATTTGCCAAGATTTTTGGGGCTGATCCTTGATGTTAGTGTGTGTGTGTGTGGCTGTGTGGCACAAAAGCCACCAGGAGAACAGCTCCGATAGTGAAGCGGTTGCCGAATGAAGGAAATCAGCCGAAATCACGATGAACTAGAATGAAATGTATTTGAATCCGGAGGCCATCGCTATTAGGTTGGAGGCCATTGCTATTAGGAGCAAGGACGCTACTAGGGGCTCCTGGCATCGCTACTAGTAACAAGGGCATTACTACTAGTAGTAAGTTCAGAATTGTGTTGCAAGGCACCTGAGAAGCCGGTGGACAGATCGCCACCACCGCCACCACCGCCACCACCACCAGAGGAGCCGCAGCCAGAGCCAGAAAGAAAGCC